TTCCTGATTCCTATACTATGGCCTATTTTTAATCTATCAAATTAATATCAATTAGCTCACAGTTTCAATTCTTGGAAGACAGTATGTAAGTTAGCACACCACTGATTGGAAGAGCTCTATTTTCTTTGTTAGTTTTAAAATGATAATGGTTCCTCTCAGAGTTAGACTCTAGGTGGCAAGGATCAGGGATGGAGGTGGGTTTTTTTTTCTATATATCCTGATGGGACTTTTAAGTTTTGAACCCTGGGATGTATTATTCATTCAAAAAATACAATTTAAAGCTTTAAATGCCTCAATAAGTATTTGTTATGACCGTGATTTTAAAATGTATTTTAATGTCTAATATGCAATTAACATACACATATACAAAACACTTAAATAATAAGACGTTATATATTAGAATAGCAAAAGGAGTGACAGAAATTTCAAAAATGCAATACAACCTAATGGAAGAATAATAAAGGAGATGAATCAAATCGGGCTGTAATACATATATATGTAGAAGTGCCACAGGAAACTCCCTGTGCAACTACCTTAAACAAGCAAAAATGTCACTGTTTTCTTTTTCTTTTTTTTTTTCTTATATAAAGTCAGAGAACAGGAGTGTGGAATAGGTCCTACCTGTGGAGGTTGGTACCAGTTGGAGGAGGTGGGAGGTGGGAAATGGTGAAGAAGAGTGAATATAGTGCAAATACTGTGTACACATGTATGTAAATGGAAAAATGAGACCTGTTGAAAGTATTCCAGGAATTTGGGGGCGGGGGTGAAGGAGAATGGTGGAGGGATGAATTCAAACATGATATATTTGATATATTGTAAGAACCTTTGTAAATGCTCAATGTATCTCCACCCAGCACAACAATAAAAAATAAACTGAAAAAAATTAATGTTAAGTTGAAAAGGCAGTCATAGATTCATGGAGATAAGAGCAGCAGAGTTTTGAAATATGTGCAGGATGTGGACAAGCAGAAAAAAGGGAAGAGTGTGACACATCAATGATGAGCAGACTGACCACTATGCCTGAGGTTTATTCTCCTACTGAACAATTATCACTTTACTCCACTGTTACCAGGGCTGAAACTGGCATCCCCACAGCCTCCATTACTTCCCACCTTCTCCCTATGTCCCTAGACTTGCAAGCAGGTTGCAAGATAGCCAGGGGCTCAGGGATTGCCCAAATAGAGATAAGTCTAGAGTCAGGAGCTGTCATAAGGAGGAAACAATTTCACACACCATCTATATTACCAGTATTAATGTTTATTTAGTGTTTGTTCTTTTGCAGATACTTTGTAGTCTAACTTAGAGAGCCTAAATTCACAACTTCTTGAGCCTTCTACCAGGTAAGCATGAACATGAGTTTAGAAGAAGCACCTTGACACCATCACCCACAAAATTAGGAATATGAGCCTCTCTGGGCATAGCATGCAGCAGAGCTCTTACTACCATGAACTAGAAAGGTCTTTTATGGACAGCTGGATATGCACCAATCACTGTCAGTCAGAAGTGACCTAGCTATAGAGAGAAAAGCAATTCATATGGAATATCAAGCTTTCATATAGCAGAGGCTACTGGCATATTGAGAAGAAAATCTTGGTTGTATATGACTGTCCCCCACATTACTGAACCAAGGGCCTCCAAGGGCTACACTATTGCTTCAGAGACCTTCACCCCTACATGCATGTTATTGGCGTCACTGTAGATTTGTTTTCACTAATGTGCATTGTGGCAGGATGCTACCAGACAACATGAAGCCCTCGAACTTAAGTCCATAGGGACTGTTCTCAGTACCAAAATAGCAGCATTCTCTTGTTCATTTTACTGGTTTTCTACTTAATTCTCTGCCCTGATTTGAATATTTTGTTTTATTTTATCTTGTCCCATAGGTATCTCTATAAACCACCTTAAAATTTTTTGTGAAAGAACATACAGATACATTTTTTAAATCCAGGAAATGATTACACTAAACATAAGTGAGAATACAAAGGAGACCTAAGTGAAGAAAGATAACTTCAGCAACAATAACAGGAAGAAAAAAGTACAAACTGTAACCCAAAGTCTGTCAAGTGACAGAAGGTTAGAAGATAGCACAGTGTACTGACAAAAATTCCAGACTCAAGAATTAAATGAAATGGGTTTGGGCTCTGACTCTGCCTCTAATTAGAAGATGCTGTGGGGAAAAATGGTAAGAAGAGAACCTAGTCTAACAATCTTCTGTAGACACTGAGACACAGAACATAGTTGGGTGAGCTGACTCCATAATCCTACAATCTGAGTTCAAATTCCACTCCATTTACTCTTGCGGGGCCTTTAATACCAACCTAACAACTCTGTGTTTTCTCATCTGTAAGATGGGAAGGAAAGTATTGGCCTTGTATGATTATAGGACTTTCACAGATTATTTATGCACTTTATATGAATTTACACAAAAGGAACCTAAAGGAGAGAAGAGGAAGGAAATCTACATAAAGTCACAATGCCAATAGCTGGTAGAGCTATGAATGAAATACAGATTTCCAGGATGACATTTTTTTTTTCTTGAGACAGAGTCTCACTAGGCTGGCCTTGAACTCTCCATTCTCATTCCTCAAATTCCTCAGTGCCAGGATTATAGGCATGGACCATTACTCTCAGTAGAAGTCTACACTCTTAACTACTATTGAATATTGATGATAAAATGAACCAACACAGCACAGTGCTGGCACATGATAAACTTTTAGTAATTGTTAGCTTGGTATCTTATAAAACTAAATTATTTTTTATATAACGGGTATTTGTTCAAATGTAGTATTTATTCAGTTTAATTTTACTAAATTTAGAGATAAATTGATCAGTTCAGTTTACAAAGGTGAGATGAATAAATAAGAAATTATAGAATATGAAAATTTAAAAGTATAACTAGAAAGCAGGAGAGTTGAGTACAAATATTTACGTATAATTATATTTTTCATGGTATTACTTATTAAGGTTAAAAAGGATACAAGTTAAAATATCAGAATGAAAGGAATTAACCAAACAAAATACAGCATGTCTATACACATATCCAAAAGAACAGGATTAAAATATAACAATTTCAACATGAGTCTTCTTTTTGTAATATGGTTGGTGTGAGTTTTCCTACTGCTTTAGACTTGTAATTTGATAAACTTTCTATACTGAAAATGTACTGCTATAATCATTTTGAAATTTATTTTTAATTAAAATAAGCCAACACAAAGCCTTACATATGACCCTACCAGATCTTCACAGGAAGAGTAGGAAAAGATCTGCTTTAGCAAGTCATACCAATGTTAAAGGCACTAAAAAATGTCTATGTATTTTAACAATTATTAAATGGACAGCATGTAGATTACAAGAGGTCGATGCTCGTCAGATGTTTACAATTAATGTGCTCAACTCAGGTGACCAAAAAAACAACGGCCATGTAGGCAAGGGCAAGAGATTTGGTGAAGAGTCAACCATCATGCCTCAGGAGAGACAAAGGACAGCCAGCACTGGTTAGCACAGAGACCAGAGGAGTACGAATGGAAGCGACAGTGACTATCACATGTGTAAGTAATGTCTCGGGAAGGAGGATGGGTGAGTTCCATATCTCTATATATAGGACAGAGAAAATTATAAGGAAGAAAAATCTGGTAGGCAAAATAAAGGGAAATTTTCCTAGAAAGTGGAGATACTCAATAATAAGCCAGGTTGGTCTGAGAAGGAACGCTCTTCCTTTACTATATGAAATACAGGTTGCCTAAAAGCCCAGTGACACTGGCAGAGGTCTGATGCGGCTAGCATGGAACTCACCTGATCTCAATCACCTGAGATGTAGCCTGTCCCTAGGATCACAAATAGGCCAACGGCAAAGCCCCAGTAACCCTTCACAGACAAAGAGTCCCTCCCTCAACTTCTTTCTGCTGTGTACGTCCTAAGCCAGTGACCAGCTGAGTGCCAAATGACACCCTTCCCTCAAATACAGGCCAGAGCCTGGAAGGAAAGAAGGACAACTGAGGGAGCCTGAGGTTTCTTTTGGTGATAAAGATGGAATAAAAGGGATCTTTAAGTCTGGGAGCAAGGTGGAGAGAGTGTGCCTGAGAAACTTGCTATACTTTGTTCTTCTAATATATTTGCTGTGTTTGACCTTCAGTTCCAGGTTGCCTCATATCTCATAAGGGAAATGATTTCTGCTCATAGATTAACGGGATCTTTAAAGTTGTTATATATGTAAGACACTTTACATATATAAACTCATTATTCTCCACAACAACCTATGAAGTAGGTGTTCTTATTATCACAGGTTACAGATGAGGAATCTGAGACAGACAGCTTATGTGACTTTCCCCACATCCACAGATAATAAATGATAGAGCAAATATGAAAAATATGAACATGGAGAAACTTTCATTGTCAGAACTACAGATATTCTTTCAGGGAGGAATCATTTTAAGCTACTTGATACTATTTAGTAGCAATTTATATATATGCCAAATATCATGAGTGACTTTCTTCTTCTTTCCTCCTCCTCCCCCTTCCTTCCACCAGCTCTCCTAATATGAGAGAAGGTAGAAGACAGTAGATGGCATTTTTATTCAACATACATCCAGTAATCCAGCTGTAACTGCTGAAATCTACAACATATAAAAGTTATTTCATACTGATTGAAATTATGAAACTATTAAACTCTAAACGCATCCAATTCCCCAAAGAAAGAAAATACGGTATTATTGTGGGTAATAGTTCAGACATTTAGAGGTATAAGGAAGACAAGTATGAGGAATTTCAGAATCAATACATTTGTCTTAGGAATGGTGACTTCTATGTGTTCTCCACCCCTTGAGAAGCAGGGGCTCTTAGGTGGATTTCAATTACTTCTGTATGATTTCACGTAGTGTAACAAAATCACTCAGCTTTAAAACCATTGTGTATATATCATAATCATGGTAGACTTTTGTTTACTTCTACTACATTCATTGAACTGATAATGAATACACAGCACACTCTGCAGTCACACTTACCTGTGATCTAAATGATGAATGGACAGAATAACTCCTGAATTTAAGTGGGTCTGTTTTAAGGTCACCAAAACAGTAAATTCATGTTTATTTCTCAGCTTCTGAAAAAACTGCTCAGCTGTAGCAGCAGATGCTTTTATGCTTCTGGGCATATCTAAAAAAAAAAAAACATACATTAGGAACAGCCTGGAATTTGGTTTATAAAGTACCTTTTATATATAACTTCTTTTGAAAAAAAACGTTATCAAGTAGCAACTAACAAACACCAAGTTTTTGACTTATGTTTAGTTCTTCAGCAAGACTTTATGGTAAATACAACACAGGACAGAAAAATCATATGAATGATTGAACGTGTTTCAGGAAACTTTTTTCAAAACTGTCACCTTTGAGGCAAGGAATCCAAAAACCTTTTTGGAAGAAGTGCACTTTTCTTTGCATACTTCCTGTATCTGAGATTCCATAGGCACAGCAGTATCAACAATGAGCAAAACAACAAAATTCCTAGAATAGTACCTAAATGACCGCACTAGAGCCATTTAGCTTTTCTGACATCTCCTGATGAATAGCGGGATTTAAATCTATGTGCCACCCTCCACCTTAGTTACTTTGGCCAGAAGGCTTACTATAAATAGATTCTTTAAAAGATCAGTGAAATTAGTCACTCTCAACCTTCCATGCAGTAGATGAAGCAGTAAGATAAAATGTTCTCTCCACATATGTTGAAAGAAATTTACAGAACTTAATTCCCCCCCCCCTTCTCCCAGACTTAGAAAAAGCCTAAGCAAGGAAGGCTTGCCTAGGAAAGGAGAAACTTTCATTCTGCAGTTTCATATGGTTCAGTCTTGCACAACCACCTCAGGAACAAGACGATATGGGAAAAACAGATAAATATAGAAATGGATTTAGCGCACAGGAAAACCCTATCATTCAAGCAACTTGCTCACTGTGAGCACAAGCCTCTCCTATTTATAGTGTGTGCTCAGAAGATGGTGGGAATCAGAAATGCAGTTTGTGTTGTGATAAAATCATTCTCGTCTTTTCAATTTTTCAGCCTAGCAAAATAGGCTAACCTAAGGTGTTCTTGACAGAAATGGCATCTGGAAAGGACAATCCTTATTTGCGCAAGATTGTCCTGGGTGCTGCAGAACATTCAGCATGTCTGGGTTCTTACTCAAGAAATGCCAGTAGAACCCAACTCTCAGTCATTGCAACAATCCAAAGTTCTCCCACACATTTCCAAACATTCCCTGGGTTGCATGCAGCAAAAACCTGGCTGAGAATCACAGCCATGTTAAAATAGACACTATAGGAGTTAATACAAAGTTTCCCACCCGTCAAGGCCAACAAGTCTAAGGAATAGAATTGTTGTAATCACCGGTCTATTGTCATCACTGAGAATACACAAGAAGCCCTTGACATACTCATAATATAGAAGTGACAAGTAATTCAATACAATGAAAAAAATCCTGCCACATATGTAGCTACAAAGTGTCATTGGATCATATAGGGAAAAGTAGTCAACAGTATTTAGAGGGAAGATGACAGAGTTTATGAGGTACAGAGGGGAGAGAAGAGAATTCTGGAGAATAGCTTGTGAGAAAGCACAGAGATATGAGTAGGCACAGCATAGCTGAAATGGTGAATAGCAGCCTTTGCTGGATGGGGCTGGATAGGAAAACTGGATAGGCAGCACACTGCAGGTAATGTAATGATACCTGTGATTCCATCAACATTATTACCCTCTTGGGGGGAAAACTCATGCTTGCCATTGAGAAATATCCCTCCCATTCTTAATCTATGATTCTTCTGTGATAGATTTGGTCATGTGACAGACACACCCTGGCCAAGCAAAGCATCATCTATCCTGACTACAGTATTTGGTTTGACAAGTGACTAATCCATGACAATGAAGTCATGCCCAGGATTTTTGTTCAAAGTTGTAGGACAAAGAAACTTTCTTCTTGTTACTAAAAGAAACTTTCACATTTCCACACACTATCTGCAACTCAAGATCATAAAAATAATCTTTAATTTCTGCCATCACCCCAACAGTTTCTCTCCAGTCTCCATCCAGGCTGAGATAGGGTGTAGAGGGGATTGCATGCAATTCTTCCTAGGTAAGAAACTCTCCACTTCCTCAAAGAACCATACAAAATATCACTGTAAGAATGATTTCACCTAATGTTAATTTTTGATTAAAAATATATACAGAAATGAACTATTCACAATCTTCATTACTTCATTTTGATTTGCTAGACAAAAGAAAATTAAAATTAAATTATACATATTTATTATGCTTCTCCTCTTTTCTTAGGTAGAACTTGATTGGCATCCTTTGTCTTGCAGAGCAGAATGACAGATGGGGATGCAAATGAGAGGACTACAGAAAGGACCAAACAGAATACACAAATGATCAGACTCACAAAGAGACCCAAGGATATGGCCCACAGGGTTTGAGTACTTGAGCTATAAGCAAGAGGAAGGGAATTTAGAAATGTGTGGTGGCTGCCTTATGAGATAGAACTTTACAGAACAGATGCTTCAGAAAGACCTTTAAACAATTTTGATCCTTTAGTCTGCACAGAAAACCTAAATTAAGTCTTCATATTATTTTGTATTGCGTTTTAGAGTCAGATTTGTGGAAAGTTGAAAAGCTGTATCATAATTTTACTTTGTTTTTAGATTAAATGACATACAAAAGTTATTATGCAAGTGGAAGAATGAAGGGTCTAAAAGAATGGATTATGACGAATAGCATTAGTAAAAATATAAGTCACTATGGTTGGAAGGAAATGGTAGATGAAGGAAGACCATTAATACACTGATCAATCTGTGCTGTGGAAAATTTCACTGGTGGCCACATGAAAGGATATTTGAAGAAAGAAAAAAGGATGGAAACACTTGAGAATTAAGGTGACCATTGACATTTATGTTTCAAATATTTTACACACAATTTTGACATCCTTCAAGTTTCTTAATTGGTATTTTCAGAGGTCCAAGACTGCAGTTATGGTAAAGAATCAGAATTTCTTAGCACCATGACTCCAGAAATCACCTTGAGATGTGGTAGCTACACTTGGGCAAGTCTGATTGCTTCTAGCCAAAATAATAATCCCAACACATAGGGTGCAAATAAAAGTCAAGGACTGATCCTTAAAACAGCCTTTAATTGCACCTAACATCTGGGAAAAATCCCAGCACAGCACAGCCAACAGGGCATGTCTGCCATGGGAAAAAAGCCCTGGGCCATTTCTCCCTTTTTTTCTTTAAGTAAGCAGACGATAGAGCATCAACCAGAATAGAACTCTGCGACATAGTGGATCCCTAGCCAACAGAAAGTCTCCCTATGCCACACCATGCTGAACTCAGTCCCAGGAAGTGTCTGCCTTGAGAAAAGCAGTACATCATTTCTCCCCACCAGCTGGTTTCAAAGCTGCCTGTGTAAACCAGCAGACTCAACAGGTGAGAAACACGCACCATTCACAGCTCCCCTACCCACCTTCCTGGTCCTATAATCCATCCAGTCCCTGGCCAGATTGAACCCACCCCCCAACAAAACTGAAAAGTATAAACAGTAAATTGTAATCTGACACTGACAGTGGGGGTGGGGTGGAATGCTGAACCTGCCCTGGAGAATGGGAGTGGGGCAAGGAGCTGAACTCTCAGTGAAGTAAAGCAGGAAAAGTAACAAAGATTGAGAGCGGGGTTGGGGTGACAAGCCAACTTCCCAAGGCAGGGCCATGGTGGATCACTAAACTAGTCTCCCTGGACTGAGGGCAGTACTCAAAACTGAACAGCCTCACCTTGATGGGGGACAAGCTGACCACACATGGTTGCAGCTGTAGAGCAATGCAGCTGCACCTGGCAAAAACAACAGACCTGACCACCTTGCACTAACTAACAGAGCGTTACCTCAGGCCCCAGTTACAACCTGCCCTGTGGACAGAAGGAACCAAACACTGCTCACAAGCCAATCACCTACTTCAGAGCTCCCACTTGCAATGGAAGCCCGTAAGACCAAGGAAAGAGGAAAAAGAAAGAAAAAAAAAATAGATACCCTCCAGCTGTTTCCACCCCAAGCTGTCTGACAAGAGGGGCAGCACCCTTCCCCACAAAGCCCAGAATACTAAGCACCAATGCCAGGATCAGACACCAAAGGAATAACTCCAGAACTTTTATTGAGTAGACTGAACTTTTGTTGTTGATGTACCTGGTGTTTTTTTCTGGATTATTAACTTTACCATCAATATTGTCTTATTCCTATTCTTATCCCTTCACTTTCCCTCCTTTTCTTGTGCTATAGTCCATTGTTCTCCCTCCCAATTACTCTTTCTGCCCCTTCTCATCCACTCTCTCCCCATATTCACCTCCCTGTCCTGTCCTCCCCCAGCCTGTCACAAAACTATCCCTCCTTCCTACATACTAGCCTACTGTACCAACAGTACACACCCTCAGCCCCTTATAATCCCTGACACAAGCACCCTCCACTACAGCAGTGGAAATACACTCAAAACACACAAGGGCCACAAAACTCAGCAGCTCCCATACCTTTTCCCCCACACACCCACCCCACTTTCTGCCCTCCCTTTTAGTGCCACCTTTACCAATTACCCAAGATTCTATCTTTAGCCAAACCACCATTATCCCCACAACTCCTACTGTTTATAGATATCATCACCAAGGGGTTTTATATATAATAGGTAATCAACTGGTCTGGCACTGAACATGTGAATTCGATATTGCTAATTTACACCTTCAGGTCAGAGACAGAAATAGCACATCAACCTAGCTAACAACTAAGTTAGTCACAACACAAACATTAAATCAAGGTAAAGAAAACAGGCAATAAAAGCCACCGACTAATCAATCAAGAACATAGGTGCACAGCACCAAGTGAAGCAATAGGGAGAAGAAGAAGGGAAGGAAACTGCACTACTCAAAAAAAGAATACAATGGAAGTTTTAGTGGGAAATGGGAAAAGGAAAACCAGTTCCTGATCCCAACAAAACAATGCTAAATGTCTCTAATGATCCCAGTGAAGCCCATAAAAAATCCTTCAAGAGGAAATCAGGGAGAAGGTCACCAAAAGAACCCATGGAGAAGACACTCGACTTGGTTAACCAGAAAGTACAAGATGCACTCAAGAAATTTCAA